TTTATTCATTCTTACCAGAGCAGCTGAAGAGACTTGTTGACTTTTGGACCAAAACCAAAAAGCCAAACACTTAAATTTGTTGATTTCACATCATAGTAATGGTTCTGAATATTTAATGTCACTTTTTAGAAGGATAAGTAAAAAAAAGAATTAAAACATCTTTGCATGGTTTCCAATGAAGAGACAAGAAGTGCAACCACAAATACACCACCACAAGTTAGATATTGAAATGTGAATGCTATCTTCTCATATGCTTATTAATTTCATGATTTTATGTTGTAATTATTACAGTGGGAAAGTGGCACTGTCATTTTTTAACAATCAGTTGTTTATCACCTTGTCTTTATGTTTACTATTAAATGTTCTGCACACTTACGTTATCTGATTCAAAGAAAATCCATGCATTAGTACTGTTAAACCTAATGATGGAAATTCTATTATGATTTTTAATGATATCCAACTTTTATACAGTTGCAGATTGTTATGAAAGAGTACAAACCTTAAATTCATTATCATTAATCAGCATTAGTAAATATAATTGACATTTTATACAGAACCAGCTTTAAGTAACTTATTGGCAGCAATACAGACGCTTCTTAATATTACCCTCTGGCTAGCTATGCTGTTTGGGCGCCAGAGTGTCTGCACTAATGACTTAGAATTAAAATCAAATAAAAGCTGAGAACTGTAACTCAGTATAAAACAAACAGCCATGCTTAGTACCAATTCTTTATGTATATAATTTGGATATATCTGGAATTTTTTAAATTTACACTGGGTATAAAACAGTGGAAGTGTTTGAGGCTAGATAACAAAACAGGATAGAGAAAAAACAAATCTGATGTTCCCAGGTTTCTACACTTACCCTTAGGCACACCATAGGAATTGAAATGAGGAGAAAAAGTAGACAATGTAATTAACCTTTCCTTTCCCTTCTTTTTTTTTTTAACAACAACAAAAAAAATGCAGAACATTTTAGACATTCTAAATAGTAAAAATACACATGCATGTTTTTCTGCCATTATTTTTCATCTCAGCAATTTCTGTAGTTTCCTGAGGATTTAATGTGCTTAGGCATGAAAAGGACCTAATCCTTAAAAAAATTTCCTGTGAAGACGTGGATTATGTTATCGAAAAGATTTAAGAAGATCTGCTTCACTATACAAGTAGGAAAGCCACTCTGTCTCTCAAAACCTCATGCCCTGACTTCTAGATATCAAGTGGTGATTTTTTTCCCAGAGCATATCTGAGTCCCCTTTTCCCCACAACACCTATGTATGACCTATTTGACTTCAGCTCTGGGGAAAAAAAAAAATAAAATAATCAGGACTAAGCCAAAATATTTTGACTTAGTCAAAATATTTCCTGGCACTTTCCTGTCTTATGATGGGGCCTCCAGCAGCCACCATACATGGAAGCCCCTTGAAGGGTTACTGATAAATCTCGTTGCACGTGTCATTATTTTACCTAGTTTATCGTCACCCTTTGCTTTGAGAAACTACATTTAGAGCCACTATAATTTAATTTTAGCCAACTCTGAGGCCAAATCTCAGGATCTAGCCCTCTAAAGACGGTTTGTTCTCTAGACTCTGTCTAGAGAAACAGAGTCTTTTTGGAGCTCTCATTTTGGTGAGACAGTTAAGAAAACACAAGAATATATTTAAGCAAGAGTAGTATATATTAAACAGTCAAAGCAATATCCATATTGTGTGGGGGAAGAGAGAAATTTTATTATTATACAAACATATATGTATATATAATGTAATCTTCTTCTTACTTTATGGATCCGATCTCCTCCAAGGAGAGCCACAAATACACATGATAGCCCTGAGTGCTCAGATTTTGCATGTGGTTCTCTGATTTTACAATAGCTGAAAGATATGTAAAAACTCATGTAGCCAGACAGCTCCCTACTGACTACACATCTAAGCAACTTCACATGCATATATTATTCCAGCCAGTGAAAGCTGGAAATAATATATGCCTTAAAAAAAAGAAAAAAAAAAAAAAGAAAAAAAAAGTATGCTTCAAAAGAGCCTATTTCAGATTCAGTGTGAAACCTTCAGGGCTCTCCCTGACCAAACCGCACCCTTCTACAGCGTGCTGCCATCTCAGGTGGTGACAACCCAAACTATTGACTCACGCTCTGCAGAGTGAAGGGTAGGAATTGCTTCATAAACTTACAAAAATGGCTACTATAGCTCTTTGTTGTTGAATGTAATTCGGTGAAAAAATTAATAACAACTATTACCATTTTGCTAGTGTCATCCTGGAGGGTTTTTATAATTCTCTCCCGGTTTTAATCATAGATCTGGTAAATGAAGTGCAACTGAAGTGTGTCTACACCAATAAAAGCAGCATGGACAACAAACAGGAAGAGATGGAAGCTACTGTGCAGTAGCAAAACTATGACATAGATGCCATCATGGAAACATGGTGGGATGACTCACACAACTGGAGTGCTGCAATGAATGGCTATAAACTCTTCAGAAGGGATAGGCAAGGAAAGAGAGGTGGTGGGGTAGCCACATATGTTAGGGAGTGTTTTGGTTGTCTAGAGTTTAATGATGGTGATGATAGGGTTGAGTGTTTATGGGTAAGAATCAGAGAGAAGGCCAACAAGGCAGATATCTTGGTGGGCATTTGTTATAGACTACCCAACCAGGAGGAAGAGGCAGATGAAATATTCTATAAGCACTTGGGAGAAGTCTCACAATCGCTAGCCCTTGTTCTCATGGGGCACTTCAACTTAGCAGATGTCTGCTAGAAATACAGTACAGCAGAGAGGAAACAGTCCAGGAGGTTCTTGGAGTGTGTGGAACAGAACTTCCTGACACAGCTGGTGAGGGAGCCAACTAGGGAAGGTGCCCTGCTGGATATGTTTTTTGCCAACAGAGAAGGACTTTGTGAATGATGTGTTGGTTGGAGGCCATCTTGGGCATAGTGATCACAAAATGATAGAGTTCTTGATCCTTGGAGAAGGAAGGAGGGGTGTCAGCAGAACTGCCACTTGGACTTCTGGAGGGCAGACTTTGGCCTGTTTGGGAGCCTGGTTGACAGGGTCCCTTGGGAGGCAGTCCTGAAGGGGAAAGGAGTCCAGGAAGGCTGGGCATTCTTCAGGAAAGAAATCTTAAAGACACAGGAGCAGGCCGTCCCCATGTGCTGAAAGATAAGACAGTGGGGAAGAAGACCTGTGTGGCTGAACAGAGAGCTTTGGCTGGAACTCAGGAAAAAAAAGAGAGTTTATGACCTTTGGAAGAAGGGGTAGGCAACTCAGGAGGACTACAAGGATCTCATGACGTTATGCCGGGAGAAAAATAGAAAGGCCAAAGCCCAACTAGAACTTAATCTGGCTACTGCCGTAAATGACAATAAAAAATGTTTCTATAAATACATTAGCAACAAAAAGAGGGCTAAGGAGTATCTCCCATGTAATCAGGGACAGGACAAGAGGAAATGGCCTCGAATTGCTCCAGGGGAGGTTTAGATTGGATATTAGGAAAAATTTCTTCGCTGAAAGGGTTGTCAAGCATTGGAACAGGCTGCCCAGCGAAGTGGTTGAGTTACTGTCCCTGGAAGTATTTAAAAGATGTGTAGATGTGGCACTTAGGGACATGGTTTAGCGGTGGACTTGGCAGTGCTAGGTTAACAGTTGGACTTCATGATCTTAAAGGTCTTCTCCAACCTAAATGATTCTATGATTCTACTCTATGACCAGTGGCCATGAAAAGCATCCAGATTACTCTCATGAAAAATAATCTATAGCATGGAGTAAATTGATATAAATTTGTTCACAGAAAATAATAAAATGTCCTGTGCACTGTGCCTGACCGTATTGCTATGATAAAGCTACACCTGAAGTGTGTCCACAGTTGCATTGAAACAATTACAGTTCCTATTGCCTCCTTACTAAAAGTTTTAGAAACTAGAAATTAGTTATCCAACCACACCTCAGTTCTTAAAAGTTTTGTGTTTAACTGAGGAAGTGAGGACTAATTAAAATGTCTACTAGCCCTCTCCAAGGGGATCAACTGAATAGTATATGTTGATTTTAGGGCATGTAATCACAATTCCCACTCTGCATCTCCCTCCTCTGTTTTTCCCCTCTCCCCAAAACGGAGTAAGATGGGAAATCAAACAGGCTTAAGACTTCTGAAACTTTGATGGTCAAAGTCTAGAAAATCTCTCCACTATGACCCAAGATTTTTCTGAGATTTCCAAGTTCACCTCATTAGGGCATGTTTCAGAGACAAAACAAACTTCAAACCATGACCAAAACATGTACAAATCTGAAAACTTCAAAAGGATATTAGTATGAGAATTAGATTTTGTGCATGTTTATTTTCTTTTTATGGGCAAAACAACACACATTCTTCTAACTGAAGTCATGGGATGTACTCATAAACTCTGCCTCAGATTTCTACATGGCAGAGACATCAGGGTCTCAGAGACATCAGGACAATTCCAACCTGCACTGTATAAACCATCAAATCTATACGTTACAGAACACAGGCTCTTATAAGAGAAGATGTTAACTGTACATGGCACTACCAGAATGTATGCCCTATTCCATGATTCTAAAATACAGTTAGGTTCATAGGCTAAAAACTGTGAAGTGAAATGTGTATATCTCACGTCCTTCAAAATAGTTATTGATACACGCAGTAGTTACCGGATTGCAATCTAAAAGATATCTACAGGGCACTGAAATGGAAACCAACACATTCTGTCCAAGCACTTTTGGGAAATTATTTGTTTTCATCTTGTTCCTTGTCAAATACATAATGTATTTTTGTTCTCAGCAAAACTAAGCATTTCATATATTCTCAGCTTCTGTCTTCTTTTTTTTTTTCTTTCAGCACTAAATATTTAAACACATTCAACCTAAAAATCTCAAGCTAGTAATCTGCTGCTTGTTTCTTCCCCCCGAGGTGTAACTATCAACATGGCAGTGCAGGACTGCTGAAGAGACATGAAAGAGATTGCGGTTAAAGTCTTACCTGCCCACAGGCCAGGCCCATGCCTCTTTCCCCCATACCATGAGGACATGATAAATTTAACTCCAGTGCATCTGCACCAGCAACCTATGAGACATGCAAAAGGAAAAAAAAATGCAAAATTAACTTCAACTAATATACTCTTTCCTGTAGGATTTACTGTTCATGTTAAATAGATTTCTTTAGACATTTGATTCTTTTCTTTTTTTTTTTTTTTAACAGAGAAAGCTACAGTTATGATAGCCTGAAAAAGAAATGTTTTGATCATTACAGAGAAAAATTTCAAAAACTGATGTAGCTTCCCAAAATCACAAAGGAAATTAAAGTAAAAAATAAACTAAAAAGAGACAAGCACAACAAGGAGTTGTTTCTGGAAAATGTTAAAAAATGAAATGTAATTACAGGGCCTTAGGGCAGCACTGAGAGGGAGGTTTGGTAGTCAGTGTTATGCAGGTGCTTCTGTGCTCCGAAGAACTGTGAGTCAGTAGTAAATTTCTCCTTTCTGCTCTAATGAATTTAGTCTCTAAATTTTCTGCAGGCACCTGTACTGTGCCACAGCTTTTGTCATTAAATATTTTTGTTTCTGAAGTCAAATAAGAGAGTATTAAAAAAGTCCATACAAACATATTGTTCATGCCAATTTTTCTTCAGCACCCTCTATTAGTTACAATTAAAAAGGCAAAGAGCTGAGGTGTACAAGAGCAGCACACAAACAGGCTCCTCTTCCTCCCTGCTGCACTGCTCCAGCCTGAGACAAGGATCTCTCCCATTGCCTTCCACATGGCTGTAACTAGTATTCTGCTTTGCATTTGCATTTTGTTTTTGCTTATTGAACTTGAGTAACTTTGCCTGCTGTGTGGCCATGGTTCAAACAAGAGCGTGAGCAGGGGAGAAGCCATCCATCACTTTCAAGACCCCTCCACGTCCTGGTCAGCTCTGCAAGCCCAGCCATGCCGCACTGATGCTGGTGCTATCGGCCTCTGTGACAAGCTGACCTTTTGTATGAATAGGTCGTCCTCCTGCTGAGAGGCACTGCGATACCTTCTGGGGCTTCTGCTCTTTGGAAAGCCACATCTATTACCTTCTAGGTAGGATCCTACACATACGATTAAATATCACTGCTCTTCAGCTATGGATTCCAGAGTGCCCCAAACAAGTGTGCTGCTCTCCACAGAGCAGAGACTAACAACTACCTTGTGGAAGAAAGTTCTGTCACATAGGTTATACATTATTGAGTGCATTTAAATAACTACTTTTTTCTAAAGGAGTAACATAAATACAAACACACATTGGAAATATCTGTCTTAAAGTTGGATAGCAGTATCACTGGCTTAAAACAGAGGAGCAAATGGCACAATAAAGCCATTCATCTCAGTTTAAAAGTGGTACTGCTCCTGTCAAGTACAGATTTCACAAAAGATTTCATGGTCAATTAGGTAAATACAGGTATAAAATGGACTAGTGCAGAAGATCACCAAGCTAATTACTTATAATGTTTAATTTCATGTCCCTAAGTCCCAAAAGTGATATTTTTTTTTTCCCTCATAGGTTTAAAATGCCCAAAGAAAATAGAGAAGTGTCTTCCCACATCACCATAAAAGGGTTTAGGACACTGCGAATAAAGAAACGATGTCCAAACATACACATTCAGCCATATGAAAACACAAATTCAAAATACCTGCACCCATATCTACACATATACAAAAACATATACATAAAAAAACAATACTTACAAAACATTTAAATCTCAACTGCTGTTAACAATAATGGCAACCTAATTTTTTTCTTTGCTTAAATTTGTTAAAACCGTCCTTTACTGATCTGAAACTATGCTTTTTATTTCCTCTAGATACATTATGTGGAAAAAACCAGTTTTATTTAAAAATAACAAATTTGCATCACATTCAGATATAGACACCTTTCTGAATGAAATTACTGCGGTCTTAATCAAGTATTTCTTATACTATTCCCTATGGACACAGGTACATGTCTTTAAACAGTTTTTTTCCTTCAAATTGAATTGAAATTTCAGTTGCATAGTCTATTTGCGTTTGTGTAAGATTGGATTTATATTATGGGAAGCCTGCTGACTGCTATTATATATGCTGGCTTTCTCTGCTATCATTTTTGAAAGTCTGTATTAAAACTAGAATAGCATTAAATGAACCTTTTATACTTTAAATATTCAAGAGTTTTATATTCAAAATTTCTTCTAGTGCTGTCAAACTAGTATGCCTGTAGGCAAGGTAAGATCAAGTTAGGCTCTCAAAGGTAGAATTAAATTTTATCAGGGCATCCGTCATAATATACAGTTTGCTTAAAATGCAAATAAAAAGTATACAGATTCAAAGACTAAAGGCTTTCCAGGTACTGCTTAAAAATCCAAGGGACCATTTTTATGGAACAGATTTCCTTTAAATTTACATTTCCATCATTTTAATGAAAACACAGAATAAACACATTATAATGGACATGCTTTAAATTCTCATTTTTCACTTTGAATCTATTTCTTTCAAGAAATTTTTTATTGCAGCTCTTGTTTTTAAGAAGAATAAAAAAAGATGCAGAAACATATTTAGGAAACCATTACCTCAGCCATTTTTGAAAGTTCAGTCCAGTCCTCTCTGCTATAGCTGCACATGATACTGGCAATCACAACCTGAAAAGAATATATATGCAATGATTTTAAGCCATGCTACCAGACTCTGTAATATAGTACTTTACTGTGACTCCAGACATTAACTACCCCTACCTGCATATGGGAACTACCAGCTGTATACTACTAGCATGTATAGTGAAATACAGCTGTATATTTCGCTGGGGATGAGAAACAGTATACAAAGTCATCTACATTATCCCTGTTTTTAAAGTCATTAAGGAAAACCAGCAAGTCTAGTCAAACATGTAGAGGACTTTGCATTCTCTTCCTCATGCGATAAAGCGAGAACAAAGGCTGTCCTAGACACAGAGCCCACCAGGAAAACTGTCAAACATACTTGTTTCTGAAGTCAGAGGAATTCATACAATGCCAGAAGTACTTGGGGCTCTTTAGAGGTAGGTAAGACATAAATGTAAGAGTTTACAGTCTAATGTGGCAGTGTACAAACACAATATTCCAGCTGACTTCAGGAAACCAGGGTTGACCAAAGCCAGTCCCCTGGAATCTCAGACTATGCAAGCTAAGGACAGTGACAGGCAGTGGGACTGTTTTGTGTGGAGGCAACTGGGACGAGACTCGTAGGATGTGAGGAAAATCTGAGAGGCCTGGGAGAGTGGCACAGGGAAATTCCAGTTTTTGTTTTCCCACTATACACATTTTATTTCCTATTAGCTGGCTGTGGCCTCAGTCCCCCAAGAGTTGTTTCTGTGCACTGCCTTTCCTCATCACTGCACCAAGCACCTTCCAGGTCCAGGTTCTGTCTGTAGCTGCTGCTGCCTCTAATATCTTTATTGAGGTTTAAGTTTTTAGGTAAAGAAGTTCTAATAGGATTCTTCTGGGAGGGCAGCTAGACACACACCTTTCCATTTGCATACAGTGCTATTTACTGTTAAACAAATGTTAACTACTCCTCCAGTCAATATCCAGTTCAAGTAAAAATACTGATTTCTATTCAAGACTGAAACAAAATCACTTGTTCTGGACCCATCAAAGATCATCACACACTGAAACTCTGAAATTGATATATTCGTGGTGAGATCAGCAGAGAACTCAGCCCAGGAACTCCTGCATGGAGGACTCCTTAGAAGGATGAGGTTTTCAAGAAAAAAGCAACAGAGACCTATATTGCAGCAGCTAAAAGGTTAAACCAGAAAAAGAAATCACAGAACTTAGAAGCACACTACCGGCTCAGTCTGTGTTCAAAGGAGACACCAGTAGAGGAGAACAGAAAAACTTCTGACCACACTCTTGTTTATTTGGCCCTCTTATGTGAACTGTATGACCATTTCACATATAAGTTTCATTTACAGGTAGGACGAAATTCAGTTTTAGTCTTTTCTGCTTTCCAAAAAAGTTTTACTGCTGGCATTAATATCTGGCATTAGATTAATCTGTGACCCCCAGTCAGTATAACACTTCTCTTGAACTTTTCCATAACGGTGAGGGTTAATGACTCATTCATATAAAGCAAAATACTGAAAAGCATGGTGTAGAAAAATGGTCTAATACACACAATTGTTGGAAATTGTAAATTCCCAAATTATCTTCATAAGAAGGATGAGATATTTAGTATCTTTAGAAGGGAGAGAAATAGACTTTAAAAAGGAAGGCAGCTATGGAGAAAAAAGACATGGTGAGGTTACAAGCTATTCATTTAAAAGGACAATACCACTTATCATCATCATTATTTCCATTGTTTTGCCCTGATGAATCTCTTACCTGTCAATCTACCACCCACCTACCTGCAGACTACCTACCCATCCACGCTTCTGGCTGATGTTTGCATGATGGGAGTCTTCTGAAAAGGAAAGCATTTGACGAAGTGCCTGCCTTGCCTGCAGGTGCCCAGTTGTGTGCACCTCTAGCATACATATAAGACCAAGCTTTTCATTAAATGCACACAATCATTACTGGCCATACTTTTATTACGCTCTTCACAGAGGAAAAAACCCTCTCTCCTATGCCATACTTTTTTCGATTGTGAAAAACCTTATATAGCTCCATCAGTCAAATGTTTATGAAATAAAATTTGCTCAATGTTCTATTTGAATATTCAAGATAATTGGAGTACTCTCGAAATAAATACAAACCTCTTTAAAAAGACTTTAATATTTTTAAAAACACAAATTGTGAAAAATCAGTTTAAGAAAGTATATATGAGAAAAATTTAGAGTAAGAAACTAGTTAAAATATGCACTACCTGGAAGTTAGCTAAAAACCATATCTTGTCAAGTTCACACTTTTTATAAACTAACTAAAGCAAAAAAACCCAACCAACTCAGACCCTGACAACATGATAAGGATTTTCACAGTTGCAGTCACAATCCAAAGTATGTCAGAAATCTACACAATTCAGCTTTAAAACAAATCAAATTTTTCAGCAGGGAAAGCTGTAAGACAACAAGGGCAGCTGACTATATTCACAAGTAGCTGAGTTAGGTTATGTCAAGTGCTATTAATGAAATTTGAAAATTCTGCTGGGAGCGTACAAAAGAGGAGGAACAAGATCTGCAATGCTTCAAAGAGCTGTTAATTAAGACAACATGTTTATTTAATATTGATTAGTTTTAGTGTTCACTTTTAAAATTAAGTACATACTTTTGACAGAAGCAGTGGTTGACAATAACAAAAATAACTGAAAGCAAAAATTACATTTCTGCTGCAACTGTTCACATAAAAATCATGATCTCAGAGGGAATAATGAAAATTTAAAAATAGAAGGGATTTCATTCTCTTTTTTCCCCCAGTGCTCTCTCATAATTTGAAATTAAACTTAATTCCTAGGTGGAAATAGATCTTCCAGCACTCCACGTTAACAAAACTGTCCTTCTTCAACTGACTATTCTTCCCCAAAATGCCACTATGGTCTTTTCATTTGGAATCAGTACCCATGACAAAAAAAAACCCAATTACGGTATGTCAACATTTAGGGGCACTATCTGTGATGTGTGAGGTTTGAATCTACTCCTAAAATCACACACGGGAATTTATAAAGAAAACATAGCGTATTATCTCCTATTACCTCGAAAGGGAAAAGCAAGACAGTAGTAAGAATAACCAGTAATAAAAATCAGAATTTTTATTGGAAAGTAATAAGCAGAAATTGTACCACATTTCAGCTTCTCAGCTTCTTCTGACTATTTTAATTTTTTTTTTTTTTTTTAACATCTTTGGTGCCTACAATGCCATGTACCACATTACTACCCCTGCAACTTTAATAGCTCCAAACAGTTGGTATCTCATAAAACTCCAGTGCACGGCCCAGCCCAGGAGCATCCCTGGAGAGAACATCGTTCCTCTTGACTCCTGAAATTTGCAGTGGCAACCTGACATGAGTTTAATTATAGTTGTTTGAACCGCAAGTGCGAGGCCGCACCACGCTTGCCCGGCTTACAAAAGTAGACTACTGACAGATCTTACAATAAAGCTGCTGCTAAAGTGTAGTAAGTGGTAAATGAAGGTTGACTAAATTGCAGCTTTGTCATAGCTTGAGTGAGGGCTGCCTGCAAAACCATGCATGATTGAAGCACAGTGGGATCCCTGGCCCATTCCTTAGTCCAGATCAGAAGTATAGCCGGCATATGCTGTTCCCTCTTCTTCTTCATCCCAACTGGTATTTTGCCTATTGTCGAGAGATTCTACCTACTCCGCCCTGCATCAAGGAGTGTGGCAGCCCTGCAGACACCGTTCCCTCCCCAATGATCACTGTGACAGATGTCACTAGACAAGGTCTTTATGCCCTGACATTACACAAGGTGACAGACAATTTCTCCGAATGCCTATAAAGGGACAAATACATGCTTGTAACATCAGACAGTGTTTTGTGTACAGGATTTTCTTGATCATTCATGGAAGAAGACGGTCTACAATAAAACTTTTTTTTGTTTTGTTGGAGGGAGGGGAGATGGAAAAGGGAGGATATATAATATACCATTTAGGACATGATTATAAGATGAATATACTGCAGCTAAAGCACCTAGTAAAAAGCTACATTTCACACAATTCTGTAACTAATGCATTAGTAGTTGTTCTGCTTAAAAGGACACTGACAAGGTACTTCTCATAATCCTCAAAATATTTCTTCTCTCTGTTTATAATAATCCCCTGGAAGCTTAAACTAGAATCTATTTCCCTTGTGAATTTTTTTTTCTCTTCCATTATCTCTATGTGGATGTCGCATGAATGCAACAGTATTAAAAGAAATAAAAAGGATGAGGTTTGCCACTGCATACGTTTTCAAGTGATCTTTCTTCCCTAACCCACGGAATTCACTGCAAGAGGTTGCAAAACAAAAGGAAGGAGAAAAAAATAACTGGGCCTACTTTGGGTCAGACAATCCTGAGAACATCTATTTAAAGCCAGACAGCAGTAAAACTCTAGGTAGACAATTACCATTTGTCCTGTGCTGCTCTGCAGGGAATAAGGGAGTTTCAGTACACTCAAAGAGTCTGAAAAAAATCTCAGGGGGCTGGATTTAAATATGAACATTGTCAATTCCTGTAAATTTAAGAAAACTTCCCAACAGACACAATGGAATCACAATCCTCTACTCTCATGCCTGTAATAACCATAGTTATTTTGGCGACCTAACACAGGCCATAGCCTGTATCAGTTCCTAACCTATTCTTCCAGGTCTATGCATAATCTCCCTGCACTTCAGGAAAACCAGTCACCGATATAATTTCTGCTTTCTCTTCCCTGCCTGGCTCTTCTCATTGCTGCACCAGGCTTGAGGACAGTTCTGCACCAAGTGTCCATAGAAGCTCCGTTTAGACACCACTGCTGGTCTCAATCCATACCCTCTTCAGCTTTCTCAAACACTTGCAAAAATCCCCAGGATCTTATTTTTGATGTGCACAGTCTTTGCAGAAACAGAAGGAGATCCTTAATGTCATCTTTAAGTCCGTTCCCCTGAAAGCTGTAAAATCAAGAGGAACTTTCAAGAAGGCTGAAGGACTGGTTTTATAACAGCTACCTGTTTGAGAAGCAGAGATATGAAA